TTTCTATGAATATTATAATATATTATAATGGATATAAAGACTCTCGTTGGTCTAGTAGTCGTAACCTGTTTTCAATAAAGCTAAGTGAGAGAGGGGACCCCGGTTGCTTTCCGAACGGAGATCCCGAGACCCCTCGTACACGCTGATGGAGAACACCGTTGGGTTTTATCCGGTAGTAGTTCGGTATAACCTTTCGGGTATATGCAGCTAAAGGTATCCATGACGATTTTCCGAGGAAAAGAAAAAGATCGTAAATACAGCCAGTTTCAACTCTTGGGTAGGGCCTAAATCATTTATTGGTTTTATTGGTCTAGAAATTCTCAATAGCAGCATGAAGTCAGGAAATTGGCTGTGTTTTACCGCAGCACCTAGGGATTCAAGTACAAACGTTGGTCCTGCGCCATATCTCTCTCCTGTCATGTCGGATTGCCGTCCCATCGCACTATGAGAGTGATGGACCAGGGAGATAACTTGTGCTTGCGTATACATTCAAGCACTATAATCTTGTTCTGTACAGATAGCTGGTCTTCGTTGAGACCGACGGTCGTATTTATAATTCTGTCTGGAGGACATTATCTAGCATATATCCGTTTTTTTTAAATAATTACAAATAAAATAATGACCTGCAGTAATAATGACTTGGTAAGAAAGTAAAATCCCATTCCACTCAGAGCAACGAATTCTTTACATAGCTGACACTGCAGTCTATCAATCTGAAATTCAATACCAGAGCTTTAATAACTATTATTTTATGACATTGAGACACAAATGAGGCAAAAGTCCATGACATGCATACAATGGGTGCGTTTGGCAGAAAAAAGCGCTAGCAAGCGCTTGTAAGCAAAATGGCGATCGTAAGCGGTAAGCGCTGTCAAATCGTAAGTAGCTATTTTCCTACAGGACACGATGTTAGTTTTAACCGGGGAATCTAACCTAATTTAAATATATGTTTGTAAAGTATTCATATTAAAAACTTACCAATCATGAATTTTTAATAACATGTATATGTCTATTCATGTCATTATATTAGTTAAAACTAATATTGCACAAAACAACTTATAAACTCTACTTCAAAACAAACAAATTAAATAAGCAAAATGGCGGATTGTGTCAGCGCTACTGAAGTAGCAATCGTGTCCTGGCCGAAAACTATTTTAGCGCTTATAAGCGCTTGCTAGCGCTTTTTTCTGCCAAACGCACCCAATGATGGTAAGTTGCTACCGCAATCCATAAATACCTGCAACCAACTTCAAAGAAAGAATACTATACTTACATGCATTGTCACCGCTAACACTTAAAGGCTAAGAGGAAATTACTCATAGCTAGTACTATAATATGATATGTTGGACCTCTTTCCATTCAAAACGGTACATGTCAAAGCACTGCACTTGGCAGCAGAAATATGAAGTCGACGTTAGACAAGATCTTCTCCTAGTTCTTTTTATCTTAAAACCTAACCTATATGAAATATTCTTGCGATAATTGAACATGTTACTCAGGTTTGCCAACAATGCTGCATTAATAATTATAATGTTAGCAAATCGAAGATGAATGTTTTTGTCATTGACGAATATTTCAGTGACTATAAAACGCATGTAAATATGAAACATTTGGAGAACATAGATAATATACACTTATTAGTCGCTTTTTACTACTCTAAGTCAATGCTTAACTACAATCCCACCTGAAGGTAAGTGGTGATGTAGCCTAAGATAGTGAAGCGCACTGACTTAACAAAGCCTATTTCCCCTTTTCTTGAAGATACCCACAATGTAATGGGATGGAAAGACAGATGCTGGTAACTTATTTGCTGTTTGAATGACGAACTATATAACAAACCGTTTGGTTTGTTATACGAATACTTGGTAAGTCCTCAATGAAAGGGTGGAGTGGTCGAACGTCTGGTTGTTAGATGGTGGAAGTAATGATGGTGGGAGGAATCAAGTCATGCAATTTCAGCGCACGCTCACCGAAATGCATCCTGTAGATAATCGAATGGCTGGCTACTTTGTGCTTGTATTCGAGGCTGTTAAAATTGCTTATTCCTACATCACACTTAATTGATTTAGAGTTATTATATTATGTATAATATTCAGCTCTCCTATATCTTATGAATAACTTTAATTCTCTAGTAGTGATATATTTTAAACTGGATATCTTTACGGGCTAGAGCCATGCTGTAGTTATATTAATAGTATAGTTGTATCACGAATGGGTCAGCTCGACCGGGGAAGGACCACACTCTCATAGAATACCAGCGTAAAATAGTAGCTTAATGCTGCTGTGTTTTGTATGGTGAGTGTAGAGAACCGGAGACCCTTTTTACTGGAAACAAGGCATTCCGTCTTAGTGCTCACGGGTGATAACGCATCTGAATTTTAATTCGTAATCGAGTATAAATGTAGATGTCTCTGAGCCACAGTAACCACTTACAATCAGATGGACTGTGTGCTCGTTTGTCACCCTATCTTACTTAAAAAACTGGATATGACGGATGCCCACCAGTTACTGAATTTTGCAACAGAAAACACATCTCTAACTGATTCCTGTGATCACGTGCCACATCCACTGTTGTAAAAATTACCATGTTGACCAGAATCCGCTTTTTTGGTACTGCACAGTCACCGGTCCGCATATTAATTGTACTTCGTTCCTGCGGATTTTTCATAATGAGGATGAAACTTTCACAGAGAAGCAAAACTCTATTGAAGCACTGTCAGCGCTTAGCACATAAATCATTTAAGAAGATTTCGACAAATTAATGCCTGAAAGGTGAGTAGTTAATTAAATTTTATACAGATGATTGATTACCTCTAAATTGTAAGTTCGTGTCTTGTATTCAAATAGGTAAGGTAATGCATCTTTAGAGCAAACATTTACATCAGCAGCAGAAAGTACTACTAATGACGTTCTTACACACAACCACATAAAAGATAACAAATAATGTACTTGCTCTAAACTAGTATCAGACATTCCTTGACTGTAAACAAGAAAACTATAATTACAAAAAAAACTAAACCAAAGGCTGTGATTTTTTAAAACTAAAATGATAAACAAACTTTTAATCAAACTAAGTAAGTATCTACTGCGGCCTTTATACATCTGAAATCAACTTTGAATAAAGAAAGCTAGAGATGTGTTGTCACCTCTGAGGACTCAGATTGGATGCAATAAAGCCTATGTTTTACAGGCTCACAGATCATTACAGGCGTTTAGATGAAAGTTTAGAAAAGCGCAGGCATTTTTACGCTGAAATAGGTAAGAGGTTGGTAATTACCTGGACGGACTCCTAGGCAGAAAACGAGTCCTACTACTTAGAACTAGGATCTGATTGTTAACAACTGCATTTCACATTCCATACGACAACATAATGTTATTATAATATTTATAATGTTCTTATTTAATACCTTTGATGTTGTGATGATACAATACTTGATATATTTTTATCAATATTTTCTAGATTGAGAGTTTTTGATAATTCGTTTTAGCGATATTTCTGTTATGCGAACGTCATATCGTCAGTGCTACCCTTCACACAATTATGATAAACCCTTGCCATGCCATGGATGAAATTTTTCAAATTTCATCCACTACAGCCTGTTTACAGTTATTTTACCATTGACATCCGTAGTTGTATTTTTTTTGCTAGATCGGCATTACTTTGATGTCTAGTAAAAAGTATTAGTAAAGTAAAATCTTGAAAAGCTTCTTGAATTTTTCTTATATATCGGTGATTATTAATCTCTTATCAAGTCAAAAAGGATTCAAAATAACGGCAGAAAACTAGCAAGCGCAAGTTTTTTAACAAGCAACGTTAGCAAAGGTCCAATAATTCCATTTGAAAATGTTCTTCAACGGATAAGAGCCACGACAGGTGTATAAAATAGTTACCTGCTATTCGTGTTTTTCTCACAGTAGCGAAAACAAAAATTAAGTATTATGGGCACGATTTTTGTTACGTTACGTTTCGTTACAATTAGAAATAGTACAGTAACGTCAGTTTTTGTATCAAAGCAATAATTCAATTTCATTTTAATAACGAAATGATTTAATTAATTAAAAATGTATTCGTTTTAAATAAATTAATATATAAATAATAATATTCTAAAAGTGCAATATAAAAAAGTGTTTACGTAACATTTCATATGTCATCACTATTACCAAAGAACGCGAAGTTGCTGCTTCCACATCTACAAACATATCCACACCAAAAAAAAAAAAAAGGAATCAACAAAAAAATAGAGTTGGATGATTTCGACTTGTGTGTAATCAGAAATAAAATACATCAAATGTACATAGCCAGAAAAGAGATAGGTTAATTTAATTATTTACCCAAAGTAGGTAAATTATTGGCTGAGTTAAAAATTGACGTCAATTTTAATGGGGGTCATACCACATTATGGAAAATAATCCGATAAATAGGATTTCGATTTAACAAGTGTGACTCTAAAAGACATGTAAATGTAGCCCGAAAGTACAGATACTTAAAGGTATATATATATATATATATATATATATATATATATATATATATATATATATATACAATATAAAATCTTAAAAAAGGCCGGCCTATTACATATCTTGATGATACGTTTATTCACGCTTCATACTCTGTTAAAAAACGTTAGCAAACGGAAAATGAAGAAGGCAATTTAAAGAGTGATTCATGCAGGTGGTAAAATGAACTTTATACACCAAATGCGCAATTTATATTTTAACCACAGTCGAAGTCGGGTGACTACCAAGAACAGATCAAATTTTATGAAACGGCTACAAGACAAACTTATACTAAATTTACCACTTAAAAGTTTAATAACGATGGATAATGCGCCCTAATACCCTATAATTCTGTAAAAGCGAATAAGACACTAATATTGAGTTCTACCAAAGCTGATATACTAAACTGGATCACAAATAAGGGGCTATCTTACGTACTTACACTATGGTGAAAGCAATTATACGAAAAATAAAAGATATAGATGATTATAAGAAGCTGATCAATTGCTTGAGGCGCATGGACACGAAGTGGATAGACTTTCATCGTACCACTGCGAGTTGAATGCCATAGAATTAATGTGCCACACTGTAAGAATGTTGAACAAAAAAAAGGTAACATAGTAAAATTAACCGAAGATATGTTACAATATATTACGGCAGAATAATGGGGAAAACAATTTGAACAAAGGTTTTTTAAAACTGATAGATGTATAGATGCTGAAATGTACAATTTTATTATAGAATTGAAAGACGAGTTTAAAACAGAATCTGACTGCAATTTTCAGGGTTCATGTTCATCGGATCGATCGATATCGATAACTTACTATCCGATGAACTATCTCTTATTCAAAATAAGTTGAAGTTATAAAAAAATAGTTTTTATTGGCGCAGAATAACAACACACTATTATGCAAACGTACTGTTATTAAAAATGCCTACAATTAAATTTTTTAAACAAGGAAAACATCCAACGTCATATGGCAGCACAGAGCTCAAGTCAGCCAAATTTATAGCTAGAAGTAAATAACTGTGAAAGAACTGCAGTTAAGGATTGATGGATTGACATAAGAACGCATATAAATTTAATGAAACATCTAAAATTATGTACTCAAATATAAATGTTTTATGGGCTCGGTTTTAGTCGATTAAAAACATGTTGTTATTTTAAAACAAACCATATTTAAGACTATAAACCAAATTTTTAAAGATTCATTTATCGTTTACAAAAACAACAGCCATGATAACTATGGATCTAACCGCTCGCCATAAAAAATGATCATCACCGGTGCGATCCCTGTCGGCACTTATTACTTTATTAATTGCAATTATAAGTGTTGATTAGTCATGTTATCATCATTGAAGGAAAAGATCGTGAGAAAAGTAACAAAAAATATTTCAAAGACATTTGAATGCAACCCTTATCGAGGCAGCAACACAGTAATTTCCCTTGGCCTTTATTCCACCCAGAAATAACGGGGGCGCACAATAGTTGTAATTCTTGTAAGAGAAAAGTAGCAAAAGGTAACTTACGTAATTCCCAAAAATAGATGTAAACATGTGAAGTAAAAATTGCACGAGTTCGATAGAAGTATTAGAGGTCCGACTAAATCGTTAACTTTTCGAACAAGGGTCGCTTGTTTAACATATGCCTCTCTTATCTTACGCCACGTGTACGTTTGCAAAATATCAAGATTCTGTAAGAAAAATCTATCAAATATTGCGACATTCTTACACTAGTAATATACTTTATAAAGTTATTCTAAAAAGGACTCGAGTAATCCACTGGTAGAGTGCGCTAGCTAGTAAGTATAACTTTAAAAATTTGGTCATATTCTCCACGCTTGGCAAGCGGATCGATGAACGTAGAGCTGATACATATAGCTCTAATCTGAATATAGAAATATTAATTTAAAGCCATAGAACTATTACGTTCATACAGATACGATTCAATTACCATTAATCGGTCCTTGTTTTTTAGAATATAAAACACAAGGAGCGTATATTGTTTATTACAAAGAAATTCCGTACAAATCAGTTCAAAGTGATAGGAGTGCTAAAATATTTAGAGCCACGATGTAGCTATAATGGTTGAAGCATGAATGGGTAGGCTCGACCAGGATAGGACCACTCTCCCACAAAATATCAGCAGCGTAAAATAGCAGCTTAATGCTACTATATTTTAACCCGGATAGTGAGAGTAAAAAACCGGAGACCCGTTTTAATGGAAACGAGGCATTCCATCTAAGTCCTCAAGGGCACAACGCATCTGCATTTTGATTCTTAATTGAGGTTAAATGTAGATGTCTATGGTCCACAGCATCCACATACCATCAGGTGGACTGTGTGCTCGTTTAACACCTTATGCTAACGAGTTGTTAACTAACTAAATATCAATATTTCACCAATTTTATGAGTGTGGGATTATAAAAATTGGACTTTATAAAACTTTGAAGCTTGTAGCTTAGAGACTTTTATACGTCACTTTGCTGGTCATAGGCCTCTTATTATTTCTGATGGCATTTTATGTTTATGGATCAGTTAGAATTAAATATAGAACAATACTTTTTTTAATAAATATAGATTATAATTCAGATAAAGATTAAAAGATTACATTCGAATAAAGGTAATATAATAGAGTAGATTGCAATATAGATTAGAGCCGTGGTAGCTCAGAGGTATATTTATTAGGTTAATAGTTGTTTGATGTGATCAAGAAAAAAAGAAGCATCCTTACGTTTGATTTATCCACTTCCTTTTTATTCTGGGAACAAACTGTGGCAACGTAGTTATTAATCCTTCGGTATCTTGAAGCCAAGCCCAACGTGATTAGTATCAGAAGTAAATCTTGCAAATTCCACAAAATTGTTGCCACCGTGCTCAAGATCATGAGTGATATACCAAACCCAATATTGTATTCATCTGTAATATATTCAAATTAATTTTAAGGCAAAAAATAGCTGCTGAGCGGTTAAGGAATTTTCTTAATGAACAAAGAAAGATATATTAAGTATCACTGTGTCATGTGGTAGATAAAGATAGAAAGTAAAATTCATGTTTTTGTTTAATACTTACCTGGTCGTAACAAAAATCCATGAGATACAAGAATATATTTTTCTAGCCAAAGCGATGGTGGGCAATCTACTCCAATAAATGATATAATACTCATCATATATTCAGCTAAAAAGGTAAATTTAAATCAGTTATTTGTTCGAATCAGAAATAAATAACATTCTATTTTGATTTACTAACCAACACCACAAAGAATAAAAAAAAATTTGATTCTAGAAAATTTTTTCATTAAGTTTTTATCTGTTGTAATACGACTTGTTACCATTGCACGATCTAGTAATATCCAAAATTCCGATAGTCTACGCCATGAACTAGATAATCTCCAGCAGAGTATTATTGATAATAAAGCGTTCGCATACAATATAGCTCCGGCTAATCGTGCTGTAACACTTCCTGTAATAGAAACAATTGAATTGTTTTATATTACTAATATTAATTGGAACCACTATTTTATAATTTTTTTAAGCTTTTACTTTTAGTATGCATTTTACGTATGAGTAAAAATTTATATTTAATTTATTATTTTTTATGATATGTAACATTTTAAATATAATACATTATTTTATTGAGAAATTGTACTTACTGTGCCCTGACGTGCTCGTCGCCCAGCCTGCGAGCGCTTTTATTACTTTCCATATCGCACCAATTTCTACAACTGTTAAAACGAATATCATTGCCACGCCCCAAAGTTTCCAGTAATATTTACTTGAACCAGCTATTCCCAACCAACGTGCCACGCGAAACATTTCTAAGATTGACCTTAAATAGTCCTGAAAATAAAATATTTCAGTTATTATGATTAGGTTCTATTTTGTGTTCAAAATATTTTGTGTGTAAAAAATTGGCTTAAAAATAGAATAGTTGATCCTTGTATTCCCATATGTTTCATTTTAACTTTAGGGAGTACCTTTTATGAAAGTAGTAGGTTAAAAATAATATTCACATAAACACATTTCTCCGAGAGTAAACATATGCTTACATCACGATATGGTTGCCGTTGATTCCGTCGGAACAAATTTGTTTGCATTTGCATCTGTATTCGTACAACTGATATGATTTTCCGAATTGAAATAACTAGGTTTTAAAAATTTGCCATAAACGAATGTCTAGTAATATTTATTCAAGGCCAATAAAGCTTAGAGCATAGGAAGGTTACTAAAAGGTAACAAAGTCCTTGATAAATAGCAAATTAATTATTATTCATACTGGGGTTGCAAAATCGATCAAAGCTTCCAGTATTATTAGACCCTCCTCAGGTCGTATTGCTACTTTATCACATACTTGCTGTCAATTTATTATATAAAGTCAGTTGGGTATAGTCAGTATAATATATTTTTTAAACATTAATTTTAGTTGTAATTATTTTTATTTTTAATAAAAATATACAAGTTCAGTAGGTACTACTAGATAGCTTTGTTTCTTTAGTTGTAAATTATCATTTCGTAAAGCAATATAAACTGCGTTTTACGTTTTTATTTTCTCGAATAAAACTGGCCGCTTAGACGCACTTCCCTTTAGAAGCGCGGCTAGGCTTAATAAATAGTTATTATTCTGTTATCATTACAATAGGATCTATTTTTCAAATGAAAGCGTATTAGCAGAAATAATTTATGCAATCGGATATTTAGTACTCCTAAAATAAGGATTATTGTCGCTAAAAAACAAACTTTGGGGTAAGTTCGACATACGTTTGTTTTCAGGGGTAATGAACATTTTTAAACGTAAAATGATATTCAATTAAATTGTAATATTTATGATGTTTACAAGACGTTAGTGAGTACAAAATTAAAAAAAAAAACGTTTTAAGGGACTTACGTTTTATTTAAAGTAGCTAATGCACTTCTTGTTTATATAGGGTTTACAAAATCTCAGTCTTAATTTATGCTAAATAAATCAGTCTCAAAAAGCTTATCATTTATCTTTGAAACATTTAAGTTTATTAAATAAATCCTTCATTAAAATAGTATTTAATAAATCTCTTATTTTCTTATTCTAATTAATAGCTTTCTCTTTTTGGAATGTAAGCATGTGTTATACAAACTTTCATAACTTCCATCGCCTGTTTTGTCCTTATATATTATATCCATAATTCTTTTCTGTTTGTCTGTCAGTTTGTCTGTTTACTCTTTATCATATATATATATCTATATAATATATATTCTCGATGAAACAAAACTTAATGTTTCTTCAATTTTAAAATTTTAAAATGAGGCTGTCCGCTAAATAAAATTATTCTAAAGTTTTGGATAATCACCGAACATTTTTGAATTTATTGATGGTTCAATATGAAAAGCCTTTTAACCTCAACACCCACAAACCCCACCGCACTTTAACTCATAAAAACTTACATATAGAGATTACTTTTCTATAAATAAGTTTGGCATTATATATTCAATATGAAATACTATATCCTATAGTGTTATAAAAAAATTGTTATCCTGAGAATATTTATTTATAATCTACATTCATTTCGTACGCCATTTTCGCGTGAATGTTATTGTGTTGATTTTTGGAATTTTCTAGTGTTTTATTTGTGTTTTATTATAAAGTTGTGATGAAAGTTTTTGTGTAGATATAATTTATCTTTTTACGTAAATAATTTCGAGTAATATATATTGAAATAATTGTGATTTTCACGCTGCCGACATTCGCTTGGTATGTTTTTTTTTTTTGTTATCAAAATACAATAAAATCTTTTTGTAATGAAGTAAAACCTGACTTTTGTTTAGACCACAAGATACAGAACTTTGTATAGATTTTATAATGCTAAACTTCTTCATAGAAAAGTAGTCTCTAAAATGTTTTAATGGTTTTATGTTCTGTGAGTGGGTGTGGACGCATGCGACCGCTCGGGATTTGCCAGACGCACGCAACTGAATGGGATTTTATGGCGCTTGAAGGGTTACAAAAACCTTTCGCAACGAAGCCGAGATGCGTAAAGGGTGAGACAAAGTAGATCTCAGGAATCTGAAGAAGATCGTGTCATGATGCTAACAGCAATCCTAGCTAGTCAAGTCAGAACTCTTGCGTGATAAATGCCTACTCTAATTCTAAAATAATTCTGACCATGACTTTGCGCTCTCAAGAAAGCAGCGAGAATCGCGAAGCGCGTTTATCGGCTGACCCAGATGACGCCCTCTGTGAGTCTGAGATTTTCACTGAAAATAAGTCACGCTTAAGTTTACAGAGAATTCTGACCATGACTTTACGCTCCCAAGAAAGCAACTAGGAATGCGAAGCGCGGTTGTCGGCTGATTCGACGCTGATGATTTAGAATATGATGTTTCAAATATTATTCTGCCATGGGATAATAGAGAAAAAAATGCTTACTCTAAAGTTACTTACGAAAGAACAACAGTCACTAATAAACTGAAACTTTAGTTTTTTGTCCAAGAAATTTGATACACTCGTGCCATTTCTATGACGCTGTTCAATTGCTTTTTTATTCAATTTGCAGTTCATTCATTGCCTAATGCGAATTTCACAAGTTTTCAGTCTTCAGTAGAAGCAGTAAATAATACTTTGCAGGACATAAAGCAAAATGACCGGCCGGAGGAAGGCCTGGGAGGCATTTCGGTACTGTTCGGTACTGTACTATAGTGATTTTCGGCAGACACTCCCGATAATACCCCGAAAAACGAGAACTGATGAACTGCCTGTCCGAAGAGCTCTATTTTATGGCGCAATTATCATCTACATACCTGAATGTAAATATACGTGTTTAGAAGGCTGCGAAAATACAAAGGAGTTTTCCAATTTATTATTAAAAATTGAAAAAAAATTATTATTACAAAGAGGTTATTTTGGTTGATAATCTCTGTTGTTGCGTTATATCACTACAGTATCTAATTTCTTATATGTAAGGAGATTCCACAGACATGGGAAATCAAGCCGGTTCTTGGCTATGTCGGCGAGCTATTTTGACATTCCGCAATGACCAAGCTGCATTAATTAATTTAAAAATATTGATTCATGTGTCCGAGCATAGTAGAAAATACACCTCTATAAATACAGTTACGAAAGAAGATGACGACACGCATTACTTGGTAGAATTTTTGGATTCCCTTAACCCACCCGGACTTTCAGCCCACAAAGTTGTTTTAAAAATCGGTGTTTAAATAATTCTCTTCAGAAATTTATGTCCTCCCAAACCTTGTAACGGCACTCGGCTCAAAGTTACAAATCTGTATCAAAACATAATCAAAGCTCAAATAATAACAGATTGCGGCACCGGTGATATTTTGTTTCTTTCAAGAAAACCTACAATTCGTACCTATAATTCGTAATAATTAACTTTTTTTCTTTCAAACGAGTACAATTCCCAGTCAATCTCTATTGTGCCGCGGGGTTGGACCTCAATATTGGATGCTTTTCCCATGATCAACTATACGTAGCCCTTTCACGCGTAAACAACCCCAATAACATTTTTGTGTACGCTCCAGATGGTTCCATAGCTAGTGTTGTATATAGAGAAGCACTTGCAAAAAGAAAATAAAATGAAATGGCGGTATCCTCCAACAGCGCTTACCACTAATAAACATATTATTAAGATCTGCCACCCACGCGAACGAAGTCGCGGGCACAGCTAGTCTTCAAGTAACTACCGAATATCAATATGAAGGACTGAGGGAGCTGTAACATCAGTGTCATCATAATAAAAACACCCTATTGATTTCTTATATTTACCACACTACATGTCGTAGGTCAAATTAACCCAAAATTTGGTCAGAGAACAACAAGCAGGGTAATAATAAAAGACGGAAAATCAAATGGCCCCTCCACTTTCTTTTAGGGTACATAACCCTACATACATGGTAAGAACACAAAATGATGGAGATAGATGGAATGAAAACCTAGTAAGATATGTGATGATACATTCATTTCGGTACGGTTGATGTGCAATTAATGCAATAAAAGATAGTAAATTTATAATTACTCATAAAGTTATACACTTGCAGCAGTTTGGCGTATATTTGCAAGTACGTCAATAAGGGCAGTGACATCATAATGTCAGATGTCAACTTATGTTGGTTGTCAGTTGTCAGCATAAGGCACGCGATGCAATCATTTTACAAACAAAAATGATTAATTGTAAATTGCGTTTCATATACTTTCATATACTACGTAGTCGTAGATGCTTGAAACTGTTTTAGTGAAACAAAATATTACATGAAAATACAGTTATGTGCATCGTAGATTCACGTCGCAGTGACACTTATTACTTAAAAAAAAAGAATAGAGAAAATCCTGAAAAAAGAACAAAATATTTATAGCTGAAATCTTTATACATATGACGTTTAACATGGTATAAAATAAGATAACTATATCTTTTACAAGATTGTTGCAATTTTTCCATTCCGCGGACACATATCTTGATGTGCCATTAGCGAAACAAAAAACGTTGTCGATGAATTCATTTAGTCTATGACAGTAAAATGAAGGATTATTATTAGTTGTAATACTTATTTATACGAATGAAATTTTATGAAACTTTCATCTGACATCTTATAACAAAGACGTAGTCGAATGTACCACAATAGAATTTTGCGGAACTTTTGTACAATCGTTTTATAATTTATAACATGTCGTGATACTGTCACTATGAAATCAACTTTAATTCAGCCGCTATATTTCTGCCAAACTATCCTGAGAATTATTATGGGTTTCACAAGTAATAATAACTGTTTGTTTAATCGACACTAGGTTTACTTCACGAAACCTATACAGAGGACACTGTTAGAATAGTACGATAACAGCGACATGACCGCGGTCCGCCTTTTGTTTTGTCGCTCTATCACAACTACAAATAAATCGATTACGAACGTATTACCCGTTTTGCTCTCTGCTCCCTCAAGATATTATCCATCATTCATTATTTAATTACAGTCTATTAAACGTCAAATGTTCACTTTTATGTTAATAGCAACATTTATCTTACCATCAAACACATAAAATGACTGCCAGCACATGTGATTTCAGTACGCCGTTGACTACACCCGCAGCTTTTCAAGATACGAGTGTTATAAAATATCACTCATGAATAAATGTTGTAACGAACATAAAATAGAACATGATGTGTAACTATCATGTCAGTATTTGTATTAAACAGTAACTGAAATGAACTTGCATTGTAATTTATTTATAAAGAAATGTATGTTCTGATCTTAATTTTTTTATCGATAGCTAATCGATAATTTGTGCTTTGCTTTGTACATCGTTATTCACCTTTTTTAAATCTAAGTTACTCGACTCCAAAAAGTTAGTAATTCCTTTATGGGACAATGAATACGCTTTTACAACATAGTAGAGATATTATCTAGAAGTGTAATTTTATGAAATTGTGGTGGGTTATTACAATCAATATGATGATTAATAAATACGACTCACTCGAGTCTGGTAGTGTAATTTTAATTAACTTATGACAGCAACACTGTTGCTCATATTGAATATATTAAATTATGATAGGTTATTTCCATCAATTTCCTTTACTATAATTATTTTTATGTTCATTTTATTATATTAATAAAAAGATAATAATTTTTTTTCTACATAAATTATAAACCAACGTCGATTTAAATATATGAAAACGTGTCGTGTTAAAACAAATTCAAAACAGATTTTACCGCAATTTGATTACCTTTTTCTATTTTGTCGTCCAATTTAAAATCCATTTTTATCTACCTATTCGATATATTAATAGTATTATAAACGTTTTCCTGCATTTCTGGAATTTCTGGTAACTTTACCAGAAATGCTATACCGTATATACTATATATATATGTATATACTAGATGGAGTGACGACCTGGTAAGACATGCAGGAAGTCGATGGATGCAGGTGGCTCAGGACCGTGCTTTGTGGCATTAATTGAGGGAGGCCAATGTTCAGCAGTGGACTTGTAATGTAATGATGATGATGATGATATACTATATTAACTATAACTATTAAGGTATATATTCTTTACGTACGTACGTTCTATATACATTTAATATAACGATTTCTTAAATTTACGCGAACACTACACATTGAATAAAACTAAGCGAGCTTCCATTAAAAAATACTACAAGCAGCCGAAGAAGATTAGTCAATTTTTACCATCCATCAAATGTAATATTCCTCTACAGTATGAAGGTGTGTACAAGCTAGATTGTGAATGTGGTCTCTCTTACATATGTCAAACAAAATGATCTATAAAAACCCTCGTGAAGGAACTTATAGCTGACGTGAAGCACCGACGCTCCGGGAAGTCTGCAGTCTGCGAACATGTTCAAGATCGTCCCCACCATTACATACGATTTGATAAACCACAAATCCTCGCAAAAGAACACCGATTCCTACCAAGGATGATACGCGAGGCTATTGAAATTAAAAACATCCAAATTTCAATAGAGAAGATGCAGCAGCTTGGGATCCTATAATTAACAAAATTAAACCCAAACCCAAGCATACCACTGCAAAACTTCATGATACTATAAGCTTATCGCCAAAAATTAATATTCAAAAACTGAAGGTAGCCGGACTAACTATGTCATTGGGACGTCAAACATCTCAGTCCCCCCCCGTGACCATGGGTGCTGTAAAGCACCCGAAACGTCGGGATAGTAAAAACAAATTAAAGTAATTAAACGCGATAAAATCCGTAAATAATAGTTTTATTCAATACATTTAATATTATTACGAGTACTTTTAAATTATTATTAGTCAGTGCTTGACTAATTAGCGTGTAACGGTGTTATAAGAATATCGATTTCCTCATAGATTAAGGGAAACTGAAACAGGAGTTAGACAGCAGCATCTCCATATAACTTCTCAAAATTAGAAAAATCTGCGATTTCCAAACCACCTGCCAAGTGTAGCTGCTGTAGCAAAATCACCCTTATGAGTCATTTGTGTAAGGCTTATGTTCAGCTGTGGACTTTTATAGGCTGTAATGGATTGGTGGATTATTACTATCCAACAAGATAGTAAGTTATGACGTAGTCGAGATAGGCTACATCATCTCTTACTGTCTTGTCAATAATTGAAAGGACTGAATACTGAATTGAGTTAGTAATCAAAAAAAAAAAAACCAAAACCATATTATTAAAAGGCAATATATAAAAAAAAAAAAAAAAAAAAAATCTATTATAATGGCACCCACCCCCCCTTTAAAACAGTTTAAAGCCTGTCTATTCCTTCTAACCTTAAGGAAATCCACATTGCAATCGCTTGGAAAGATAAACGCTGTCAAATTTATCCAATCCTTTGTGCTAAGCATTAATAATGACGAAGCAAACTGTTTGATTGAATGCATGGTATTTTAACAACAAAGAGTCAAGTCAAAAGTCTAGCCGAGTGTCTGGTTGTCCGATGGTGGAAGGGAATAAGAGAAATTAAGCCACGCCATTGCTGCATATACACTCCGGAATGTATCCTGTAGAACACATTAATTTATATTAAAAGTATGTATTGATTTCTATTTTCAAAATTTTCTTGTTTATAACTATCAAGTATTAAATAGAGGGATATTTAACTTCAGCCAAAGCAATAATATGTAAAAGCATCAATCGAAATCAAATCTAAAAAGATATGCCTACCTGAAACCTTTTGACAATACACCAACGAAATATAAATATAACAATAAAATGAACAAACAATGAAGGAAAAACAAAAGGCGGTCTTATTGCTACATAGCAATCTCTTCCAGACAATCCAGAAGAAGAAATAAATAAAAATAAAAATAAGATTAACGGGTAGGGTGCACTTAATTAGAAAAAAAAGTTTGTATTTTTTTTTCTAATTTAGTGCACCCTACCCGTTAATCTTATTTTTATATGTACTAAAATAACAATATACTTTAGGTAGTTTAATGACCATAATATATGAGGAAGAGGGAAAAGTTGAAGTGAGAAGTAGTGTTCCTTAATCTGATTCTTGAGCACATTTAATGATTTAGCACTTTTAATTGACTGAGGTAAGGAGTTCCAGAGTCTTATTATAAGAACAGCTAAAGATTTATCATAAAATGTGTGTACAGGACATTGGAGAGAAAGATTTCCAGATTGGAGAGTATAAAGGAAGGATGCTATTTCTTAAACAAAAGGAATTTTTTTGTTATTGACTACACTTTCAATTCTATTATTAGAAATTATTCTGGAGATTAATAGTTAAAAACAATAAAACTGTGAGGTCGAGTGTTCAATATCTCTTTTGTATTTGAATAAAACAGGGTCCTGCTCTATACATTCAATATATAGAAAATATGGTTAAACCATACCGTTATATTATATCCCCGTCACAAACACACAGTACAAGCGTAGGTATATATTTTTTTGTGTAGGCCTCAATAATTTCATTTAGGTCAAGAAAAATAAGATATTGTTTAGTAAAATAAATATATTATTTGTTATTTATACAGATTCACCAATTTTTACTGTTTACATGGTCATGGAGGTACCACTATATACAAGACTAATAAAACCCGTTTTATGATTATAATTTTCAAGATAAAGCTTTGCCTCCTATAACGCACAATTATAACTCTAGAAAATAACGTAAATTTTGTTACAAAACTAATAGCATTTTAGAAAGAATTAATACAAAGTTATAGCCCGATCGTTACGGTTGCTTGAGACAAGCTTAATTACTGTTACGCGGCTAAGTTGACATCTGGCACTAGCGCCACCTAGTGTCGGGTAACGGAGCGAGGGGAGAGCTTTCCAGAAAATGACATCACTGATCTTTCAACCGACAGCGCCATCTGTTGTCGAAATGAAGAACCAAGCTTCTGGAAGCTTACTCTCGAACTTTCGGCGCTTTGTCGATTGGTACGCGTATTTACTTGAATGTTCTGGATGATTCGGTACTAATGTGTATTTATAGGCGCTGCAAGGTGCGATCGGGGAAATATTGAATTTGGCGAGACAAGCGAAGCTTCGGAGAGGAATAAAGTGATTTAGTGAGCTTAATTATTGGTGTTTTAAGTTTTAATTTGTGTGAAGAAAATTAAAGTGTTAAAATTTGGGTAATGCTATCGGCAATTTTTATTGTCACGAACCTCAAGCTCGTAACAATTGGCGTCAGAAGTGGGATAAAATCATGCCTATTTTACCTAAGGATGAAGCGGAGGGTGTCCGTACCCGAGGTCAACGCTAGCAGGAGACGGACCAAAGAAGATTTTGTGGTGCAACGCCGCAGACGTCGGAGGGCCAGCCGCCGGCTGCAGGACCGTCAGTAGCTCCTACGTCTGCAGCACCTGATTTAGGTGCTCTGATAGTGATGCTGCAGGAGCAGGCTCGCTGACAGGAGGAGCAGGCCCGTTGGTTGAAAGAGCAGCAGGAGTAGTAGGCTCGCCGACAGGAGGAGCAGGCCCGTTGGTTAAAAGAGCAGCAGGAGGAGCAGGCTCGGCGACAAGAGGAACAGGCTCACCGACAGGAGGAACAGGCTCGCCGACAGGAGGAACAGGCTCGCCGACAGGAGGAACAGGCCCGTCGGTTGGAAGAGCAGCTGCGGGGCGGACAAGAGGAACAGGTCCGTCATTTGGAAGAGCAGCTGCGGGGCGGACAAGGGGAACAGGCCCGTCGGTTGGAAGAGCAGATGCTCCTCATGAAGGACCTTCACGCTACCTTCGGGCAGGAAATCAAGGAGGTGAAGGATAGGGTTGCTCAGCATGACAACCGCCTGTCAGAAGCTGAAACCCAAATCGCGAAAGCTGAAACCCGAATCGAGAAAGCCGAAACCCGAATCGACCAAGTGAACAATCGGGTTGAAAATGTAATGGCTGACATGAAGAAATCACTGGAGGAACTCAAACTTGGGGATGGAACTACAGCTCCCGTAGTAGCTACTAAACTTTCGCTACGTGGGTTCAAGGTGCCTCCGTTCGACGGGACTTCTTCCTGGTCAGCCTACAAAATTCACTTCGAGGCTGTTATGAAAGCGAACGGCTGGAATAAAAGTCAG